ATTTCATCAGTTATGTCCTTTTGGGTATGGGAATATTTTTTAGTGTTCCACTTTATCTAGTGGCTTTTGAGTGTATATTTTATTTTATTATTTCTTAAGTGCTCTAAGGATTATAAGATATGGCCAACCTGACGACGTTTAGAGGTAAGATTCTGGCACTTCAAGTAAGACCTAAACACCTCATGCCAGGTACCCCCTCTGCCCTTTCCCTTATGTGGTGGACGTCTACATACATGAAAACCTTCACATAATATGGTTGTTTCTTTCTATAGTCGTACTTTAGGAAACCTAAGAGGGAGACGAGCCTGTCCTGCGGCTGCAGGCGGTCTCCATGTCTGATGCGCTCCCTCCTCCTGAGGAACTCCATGGAGCACTGTTTCAGTGTAAGTTGCTGGTGATGAGCTCTTTGTTGTCTCTCTGGTAGTTTTGCTGGGTATAGAATTCTGGTCAGGTAGTTCTTTTCTTTCAGCACTTTAAAGATGTCTGTTCTCTTTTGTTCTCCATGGTTTCTGATGAGAAATAGAGTCATTCAGATTATTGTCCCCTGTAAACGATGTTTCCTTTTTCTCTAGTTGCCATTAGAGCTATTTCCTTTTCTTTGGTTTTAATTTTAATGCTTAGCTATGATGCATCTTGTTTAAATATTAGAGATTGTTCCGTTTTAGGTTCCCTCATCTTTTTGAACCTATAAGTTCATTTCTTTCACCAAATTTGTGGAAATTTCAGCTATTTTTCTTCAAAAAAATTACCGTGCCATCTCTTTGTCTTCCATTTCAGGAACTCAGCTGAAACAGAAGTTAACTCTTTCTGTATTTCCTCATGGCTTCCTGATGCTCTGTTCTTTTCTCTAATATTTTCTTTCTCAGAATGGATAATTGTTATTGAATTGTTTTTAACTTTATAGATTCTTTTCTCTCTCACCTTCATTCTATTATTGATTTCATCTAGTGAAGTGTTTATTTCATATTTCTGTGAGTTCTAAAATTCCCATTTGATTCTTTTTTATAGTCTCTTTCTCTGTAGAGACTTAATTTTTTTTCTGTTTGCTTGTCTCAGGAGTATTTACCTTTACCTTGTGGAGTGTGATGATGTTTGGTATTTTAGAATTCTTACCTGATAATCTCACCTTTGTGTCACCTCAGAGTTAGTTTCTGCTTATTGTCCTTTCCCCTGAGTTCCTTATTCTACTTCTTAGTATATTCAGCGACTTTGTATTGATGTCGGCAGACCAGTAACTCCAAAGGTGTCCACGTCCTGAGCCCAGAGCCTGTGGGACTGATTTATGTGGTCCGAGGGATGGTGCCGTGTGATCAGGGGGAAGACCTTGAGGTGGGAGATGGCCCACCAGATCCTG